GGTTTGGATCCCGGGCGCGCACCGAAGCACCGCTTGTCAAGCCATGCTGTGGTCGCATCCCACATAAAGTAGAGGAAGATGGGCCCGGATGTCAGCCCAGGCCCAACCTTCCTCAGCAAAAAGAGGAGGATTGGCAACAGATGTTAGCTCAGGGCTAATCTTCCTCACGCACACACACACACACAAAAGTCAACTGCTTCTAGACACTAGCAGTGATAAGTTGTAAATTAAAAATTTCAAATATAACACCATTTGTAGTGTCATCAGAAAACATAAAATACACAGAAATAAATTTATCAAAAAACATGGCAGACTTCTGCACTACAAACTACAAAACACCACTAAGAGAAATTGAAGATCTTAAAAAATGAAGAAATACACCATGCCCATGGATTAAAAGACTATATCAAGTTTTCAATTCTCTCCAAATTGATCTATAGATTCAATAATCTATAGATCCCAATCAAAATCCCAGAAGGATATTTTTAAAGAAATTGAGAAGCTAGTTCTAAAACGTATATGGAAATACCAAGGCCATAGAACAGCCAAAATAATCTTGAAAAAGACAAAGTTGGAGGACTCACATCACACCACAGAGATGCATCAGCAAAATCCAGGTCGTAGGAAATCCCACAGGACAAATAAGTTTATATGTGTATGTATGTGTGGGTGTATATGTACACACACATGCACGTACAAACATATAACAATCTGGATTTTGCTGAGGCATCTCTATGGTGTGACATGAGTCACACATACACACACACACACACACACACACACACACACATATAGAGAGAGAGAGAGAGAAAGAGATCTAAAGACCTATCTAATATCACATTGAAAACAGAAACATTTATGATATAATTAGAAATTTGAATAACTGAATGTGATGAGATTAAAAATGTTAATTTTTTCAAGTGTGAAAATGTTAGAGGCTATATATAGTTAAATTTCTACTTATTTTGTATTCATTCTTTCTCTTATTCTTATCAACATCTATATTTTCTCTACCTCTAAGACTGGCAGACATACTCAGGTAATTATCAATATTTAGCTTTCCTCAGCACCAAACAGTGTTTTGGGTGAGTATCAGAGGAGAATGCTCAGTTCATGATACTAGCAAAATAGGGGGAAAAAGGTAACAAAGATCTTTCTAAAATGTAAAATTCTTTCAATGTGTCTCTGATATGCACCTTTAGATTTAGTATGGTGGGCAAGAGCCTGAGTGTGACGGAATTTCAGAGATGCTAAAAGATTTCTTTGCCCAAAATCACCAAGTGGCCAGCTAGGTCACTAAAGTTCTATTTCATACACCAAAGTTTCAGTGAAATTCTAACTCTTAGAAGACTCTCTTTAAATGCAAATGTTCTGAAGAGGTAACCTACTAATCCAATGGTACCCATTAAAAATTTAGCAAGTAGTTTAGAATAGTTTAGATTAGAAATATCTTAGAAATAGTTCAGACATTTAGCTAGAAGGCAGATCCTGGGATAATAGGAGTCCAACCAATTTAGTTTAAACAAGTAGAGGAGAAAGCTTCGTCCTATGGAAGGTGCAGCATTGGAAACCCTGAGGCCTGAAGGGATAAAATAGCAGGAAGAAACCCTAGTACATCAACATGCAGTAATGGATACTAGAGACACTAGACCAGTATGTTTCAAACTACCACTAAACCAGAATTATTTTTTCATAAAATAGAATGGAATAGAATAGAATAAAATAGAATAGAAAATATCAAAATGCCTCACATGTAAGGATAAGTTTTCTTTCATGAAACTATTTTTCAGGTGTGTGTGTGTGTGTGTGTGTGTGCGCACACATGAGCAGGCATACACTAGGTCAGGATGTAAAACATATTTCTTACTGTGGGTCAAAAATGAGCAAAGGTGAGCAAAGGCTGTGTGTGCTTTTAGTCACCATTACATCTCCAGAAACAACACACTGCCTGGCAAAAGGCAGAAAGAAGCTCAATAAACACTTATCGACTGAATGGAAGAATGAGGACAGAGATTGGAAAAAGGTGGGGAAGAAACTAACATTAATTTTACCTACTTCACAATTTTGCTTTGGTCTCTACAGAATCCTCGATAAAACCTTGTATTTTTCTCAAAAGAAGATTCTTACTAGAAGAGTAATTTGTAAAACCTAGAACTTGTTTAAGTGCTAATTTTGAAGCCAAAAATGACTACTCAAGAGCCCCCCCCAGTGGTGCCCTTTTCACAACCAACCCCCTGCAGAAGGAGCTGGAAGTGATGTCCTCCATCACTGCCTCCAAGTCCAGCAGAATTTTGCTTCCCAGCTCCTAACCTTAAAACGAGCCTATCACAGCCCCGTGGCTTAGTGGTTAAGTGCATGCGCTCCACTACTGGCAGCCCAGGTTCAGATCCCGGGCGTGCACCGACGCACTGCTTCTCCGGCCATGCTGAGGCCGCATCCCACATACAGCAACTAGAAGGATGTGCAATTATGACATACAACTATCTACTGGGGCTTTGGGGAAAAAAAGGAGGAGGATTGGCAATAGATGTTAGCTCAGAGCTGGTCTTCCTCAGCAAAAAGAGGAGGATTAGCATGGATGTTAGCTCAGGGCTGATCTTCCTCACAAAAAAAAAAACGAGCCTACCTTTCAATTGGTGAAATTATTAATGTGAAACAGGTGAGTTTCAACAGGAGGTTGCAGAAAAGGGATTGATATACAAAAATGTACTTTTATTCTCTTCTAATGTACCGAAGAAATCATTAGCCATCACCACTGTAGTCTGCTGGTCAAGAGTTGAACCCTCGTTATAAGAAAGCCAGTTGTAGGGGAAGAATGAAGCCACAAAATACTACTACTGCAGCTTTTGGCTTCTGTATGAGATGTGCTAAGCATTTTATTAATGAAAACATTTCATTTCAAAGTTGAACCATGACGGTAATCCCTCCAACTTATATATCGACTCTACTGGGGTTCCCTGGATTGAGGGTCCATCTAAGTCAATCAGCTCAACACTTCTATGAAGAAAGAGAGTACAATGCGGTGGGTATGACAGAGCCCAAGCCAAGAGCAGGACGAAGGAGCGGGAAGGGGGTACTAGGAAGCAGATATCGTCTTTCCCATCAAGTCTCCTTAAAACTTAATACCTATTTCCCAAGTCTAAAAAATGAAAACAGTAAAGAATAAGAGCTTGTGAAAACATTCTGAGGCCATTTTCCCAGCCAGAGAGCACCTAAGAAATGAGAATTTGACCTATCTTTTCTTTACCTATTTTGTAAGTATTCTAAACTCAACTGATTATAATAGCCACCAATTTCATCTCATTTCCCGTTTCAAAAGTCCTCTCTCTTCCCCTCTCTATATTATAAAGAAGTTCCTAACCAGAGGTTGCCACACACTCAGCCTATGTGAACATCCCATGTTATCACATCTTTTCTAATTCTTTCAAGCATTCAGATGAATTACGTTTACTGTACCTCCCCTCAAGTTGTCAGAATATGGCTGTATTTTCCAAACTAAAATCCAGTAACTTTCATAGGTTGTTGGGTTTTTTAAGTCCTTTTGCAGAAGTGGAAACTATTGTCTTTACTAACCATCTCCATTTATGGTTAAGTGGTTAAGGTAACAGGAGAAACAAAGACGTTGATTTTAGCAATGACTAAACATGAAAGTGAAGGTATAGGAAGTAAGTGTTTTCCAAACAGGCAAAGAATGAGAGATGACAACAGAATGAGATGTGCTAGCGGTACCCAAAGGTGCAGACACATAAAACTGATCAAGCACCTGGTATAAATTGCTTTCTAAATAAGAAGTAAGCATACATTGGTCTCAAAAATACCAATTAGCCAATGAACTAAGAAAAAGAATAGTTTGAGCTTCTTTCACATTTTTAAATCTGTAAGTTTCAAGAACTTGAAGAATCTTAACAGGCAATCTCCATCATTCACTTTTGTGAACTAAACAATTCTCTTTTTACTAGATTTGCTAAATCTGTAAATGTAAAACAGGTATTTAGAGGCATTAGTAAACAAATCAGACGAAGAGGGAGGACCCAGAAAAGAGGTGCATCTTTAAGGCACTATAACTACTTATTCAACTCCTATTATTTTTCTTGCCCTAAAATTCTTACTAAGATGATAACCTCTGCCACCATTTCCTCATAATTCAAATTTGCTATGGCTATAGGAGAGCCTGAAGCTTGTTTATTAGTTGAGGACCAAAACTGATCGTGTTACATGTAAATGTGCATTTTGAGTATACCAATAAAAGAAATGACTGATAAGCAATAAGGCCAGGTAAAGCAGGAGCCACCTTCACAACATCAGTGAATATGGGTAACCAGGGAGAGCTTGAGGACTAGGAGAAAAAGATTTGTTTGAAGAAATAGAAACCAGAAAACAGATAATTTCAGCAAGAAGTCAAGGAAGAAGCAAGACATTAACTGACTAGGAAAATCTAGAAAGTGACAGCTCATAAGGTTTCCAAGAAAATGTGAGTCTTTGTGCCGAATGTATCCAAGTGGGAGACCAAGGAAATGTTACCATTCAAGCGTTAAGAATATACATTAATAACTAAATTAAAGATAATAACTAAATTGAGGACAAGGGCTTAGATTATGAGTAGAAATATTAGTGGAAATTAGAAGTAAAAAAGAATAGCTTATTTTTAAAAAAGTATTAAGCTGAGTCAAACAGCACTGAGCAATGAGACACTGATTTATCTAATAACTTATCTATAGATGATTTCCTTCCCTGAGATCAACTCATTTCACACATTAAATAGTGTTTGCACCCTAACATGCTAACTAATCCTGCCTTAAACTACAGTCACACCCTATGAGAAGTAAAAGTGAAAATTAAGATAACTGCCCTCCTGTCCCCTTTCCTCTCCCCTTATTTTACCTCGCCTCACCCTATTCCTTTGCTGTAGCCAGTTGAGGGATGGAAATGGAAGTTATCCTTGAGTGAAAGCTGGGACACTTTCTGTTTGGACCACTCAAAACTTATTTCAACACACTTACCAACATCTCCATAAACATACAGGCCCCTTGGAGGTTTGCTCCTTGAAAAAAGCTGCAAATTAAGAACAGATTATAAATCTCTAACATGGAAATAATTAAATATCATCATATACATAGTGTTCCTAACTGTGCTATATAAAGGACTAAAATGGACTATTGGACACAATAAGTACGAAAAACTTGATGTAAAAAGCTATGAAGCCCAACTTAGGTTTTAACACCAGAGGCAAGAATCATAGCAGCCCAGACCAAAGGCTCCGAAGTCACACAACTTGAGTTTACATCCCCTACACCCTTTACTAACCATGTAATCTTCCCCTTCTTTCCCAAATGGGCTCCCCAAACAACGACAGCCTTGCTCCTTCCCAGCAAGCAAGAGATCAGAAGAATTTTTCTGGAGAAACTGAATGGTCCCCAGGAAAAAAGGCTCAAGAGCATTTATGTGTGGGCTTCTCTCAAAGATCTTCCTATCAGATCACCTTACAGGAAAACACCAGTCAACAAATCTCTTAAGATGGAGCCTCCAATACTAACAAGTATATGAAAAGGCTCTAAAATGAACTGATAGCCAAGAATCAAGAGAAATTTGAAAAAAAACTTTCAAGATAAAAGTTGGAGACCAGAGCAAATAAACAGTGGGGGAGAAAAACTCAGAGGAAACAGACACTACACAGAGAGCAAAAAGAAACTTCAAAATAAAATTGTAATCAATACAATTAATACACTGGGGAAAATAAGAGAAGCTATTAAAACTATAAAGCAAGAACACAATGTAATTTTTAAAAATTCTCTTTTAAGAATAAAAGAGAGCACTTTGAAATTTAAGATACAGGCCGGCCCCGTGGCTTAGCGGTTAAGTGCGTGCTCTCCGCTGCCGGCGGCCCGGGTTCGGATCCCGGGTGCGCACCGAGGCACCACTCCTCCAGCCATGCTGAGGCCGTGTCCCACATACAGCAACTAGAAGGATGTGCAGCTATGACAGACAACTATGTACTGGGGCTTTGGGGGAAAAATAAATAAATAAAATCTTTAAGATACAGTAGCAGAAATACAATTCCATAAAAAGGATCAGACAGTAAGCTTGAGGAAATGTTCCAGAAAATAAAACAAATAAATAGCAACAATAAAAGACAAAAAACATAAGAAAATTACAGGATTAATTCAGGAAGTCCAATATCTGACAAAAAGGAATTCCAGAAAAAGAAAATAGCAAAAAAAAAAAGAGGGGAGGAAATTATCTAAGAAACTTATGCAAAGATTTTTCTCAGATCTGAAGGACTTGATTTCTAGATTAGGAGGATGGAATAAGTGTCCAGCACAATGAAGGAAATATGATCCATAACAAGTCACAATCCTGAAATTTCAGACACTGAGGAGATAAAGATTCTACAAATGTCCAAGGTGGTCATGGCGGGGGTAGGCAGAGGGGTGTGGAGGAACAAGTCACAAACAACGGATAAAGACTTGAGTAAAATTTGAGGGACGATGATTTTCAATCTAACCCATCCAATCTATCCATCAAGTGTGAAAATGGAAAGTGACATTCCATACATACGAGGTCTCAAAAAGAACCTCCCCAACAGAAATAGGAACACCTAGGCTCCAAGAAACACAGAGGATCCTGGGAAGGAAGCCCTGGAAGATGGAGAGTTGCTCCAGAACCAGAGCAGCACAAGCAGGTCAAGAAAGCAATAAAGTCCAAGCCAAAACAGGCAGATGGAGGGCTCCAAGGAAGAAACAAAATGGAACTTCTCTCTGCTTGATATAATTATCAACCCAAATAATCATCCTGAATTTTGTTCCACTTCGAAGAATAACCTTCAAACTCCGAAACAGTTCCTAGACACCTGTGCAAAAACCAAGGTAAGCCAGAGCAGAGAGAATTCAGAGAGGGCAAAAGCAGAAAGAAGCGAAGATTATGCCACTTAGCACCAACCAAGGCAGTCAATATTTTGGCAGAGAACATTCTCAAAAGCTAGATTTCAGGATCTAGTACACAATGCTTTTGTTTTTTAATCTGTGGATTCACTCCAACATGCCTCAGAAACCTCTCTCACTTACTTATCCTTCTTAGCTTTTTCCCTATAAATCCAGGCCCTGACTCCAGCATGCCCCTTCCAGAAGAATCTTCACCAAGGTTTAGGCAAAAGTATCTTCTTTGCTTTGATTCTGCCAGCTGAATGCCTTCCCTGTGTTCTCTGCACATTAACTCACCATCTATTCTTAAATCTCAACTGAAAACAGATTCCACTCCTGCCAAAACATTTTAATTTGCCTTGTTTTGATATCTTATATGAACCATTCTTGTACACTGGTTATTCTATTTTCAACTTGCCAGAAAAAAGCATTAGCTATTAAATAATTTTAGAACACTTTAAACTTAATAATCTCTAAGTATATTCTATGTATTAGAAAAGTTACAACCCAATAATCTCTAAGTATATTCTATGTATTAGAAACCTTTTTTTTTATATAAACTTTTTTTTTGAGAAAGATCAGCCCTGAGCTAACATCCGATGCCAATCCTCCTCTTTTTTTGCTGAGGAAGACTGGCCCTGAGCTAACATCCATGCCAATCTTCTTCCATTTTATGTGGGATGCCACCACAGCATGGCCTGACAAGCGGTGCATAGGTGCGCACTCCGAACCCGGGCCGCCAGCAGCGGAGCATGAGCACACTTAACCGCTACGCCACGGGGCCAGCCCCTAGAAATCTTTTGAAAGAAACATTCTGTATTAGGTAACTAGAAGCACATTAGAGTAAGAAGAAATTAATAATTCTTATTAATAATAAGATAAAATAATAAATAATAATTAATAAATCAATAATTCTTCACAACACATTTTGCAGGAATAGTGTGGGGCCTACTCTACTACTGTTCACATGATATAATCAATATACGCTGAATAAATGAAGTTCAAGGCAAAAACTTAAAGATGAGGAAAAAAGATGGCACAGAAAGAAGTCAATGCTACTAAATAAAAAAGAAAAGCACTCACGTCCTATCTTTTGTTTTACCCACTGATATTCAACATACTTTTGAAAGAGCACTTTGGCAAATATATTATATTATATATTACATGTATAATTTATATTATAGAAATATTTAGAAGATGATAAAGAGATACTGTTGTAGACTACCAAAGGAGAACATCCTCCCACAGCTGAGATCACAAACACCTCGTATGACATAAATACTGTTTAAGGTGTAGATTTTACTCTAAATAAATTGACAAACAAAAATGATAAATGTTAGATATTGTCTATCTAAACAATGTTATATACTCCAAGTATTACTTGGAGAGGCAAGCTAATTTTCTCCTAATAAAAATTTCAGTCTTCCAAAAATTATTGAAATTATTTCAAAGGACTTAAAAATCTATATTTTAAGGGGGAAATCAGAGGATTGAATGGAGAACAGTAAGACTACTTAGAAGGCTATAAAACAGGTCGTAAAGAAGTTTTAAAATTCTTTATTTATAGTAGTGAATTCAGGGAAAGTTAGGTTCACACGGTTTTCTTCAAAATGGCTAACTTACACAGGAACTCACATCATTTACATGCTCCTAATTTACATTTTCTCACAATTTACCCTATTTTTCAGTACCATTAAATTTCCTTTCTTAATGTTTTAATTTCCTGTTAATTTGTTCTTACATCTCAGAGAACTCCACCCTGGCATATTTCCTCAGCGCTGGTATTCTGTGCTCTCCTCCCCCAAATGTCTCCTCCTTCCTGCTCTGGAGCCAGGAGGCTCACCTTGCTGGCTGGGTGCTGGCTGGGCTCAGCCCCTGGCACCCACTATTTGAAGGAGATAGGAGGGAGAGGATAGAGAGAAATCCGGGTCATTCTCTCCTGTTCTCTCCCTGCTTCAGTGTTGCATCTCCGGCAGAGCTGCATCCCTCCAGGACCATCAGGTCCTCATGCCACAGCTCCAGCTCTCTCCAGGCTCCTCTTCCAGCCCTCCAGCCCTTGTTTGCTGCCTTAGGCTGCCCTGCCCACGACTATCTAAGTCATCTCTTGCTTCAGTCTTTATTTGAAACATCTGCTGTGAAGGTTTCCTGCCAGGACTCTGATACATACCCAATCCTTAAAAGGCACAAGCACTAGAAAAAGACTTGAAAATCTGAACATGAATAAGTTTCTCTAGTGACAAGTTGTAAGTCATGTTACTTGTATCTAAGGGAATTTGTAAAGTAGGAGGATGACACCTTCTCTAATGGGTTTTTGATAAGGATCCAATGACACTGTATTATAGATTGTACAGATGGGAAGCTGGAGGATAACGTTGGAAGACAGTGGTAATCAACTACCTCCTAAGCATAAAAGATACAGCAGAAGAGTACTGGAGTTGAACCCAAAAGATCTGAGTTACAAATTCTGGTTCTGCTACTTATTAGCTATGTGACTCTGGATAAGCCACATCAACTCTACAACCTGCCATTTCCTTATCTATTGGGTGCAGGCAGAGCACAGGGGAGTTCCCACTCACTGCCCACCTCCGCATGACTGATCACAAGGCCCACTCACTCACGCTGGAGACCGCAAACGTCACGTACTTACTGATACCTGCTTCCATCCAAACCTGTGGACCATGCAAAGAGAAACATCACACCCCTTGACATACTCTTCTCAAAGATCTGAACAACACTAATACACACTCAAGCTATTTTATATCTAAATAAACTCTACACCAAACAAATCAAGAATACATTCAAGAACAGGCAGCACAATTTCAAATATAGCCCACGTGCTAAGCCATAAATGAAACTTCAATAAATATTAAAGAATCACCATACTCCAACCATAAAGTAATAAAATTAGAACTAAATGAATGGAAGGATAGCTAAAAATAAAAAAAAAATCTCATACTAAGATATCAACATTCCCACCACACTCACCCAGACTTCTGAAGACCGCTGAAAAAAGTCTGGAAGCCCTGCAGAGTGTACACTCTCACCAGTCCCTCCATATTGTCAACAATTCTGTTTCCCTGGTTAGTTCACTCTCTGTCTCTGAAATGATTCTCTGGAACTTTCTCAGTCCCCTTT